CCCCAAAACCCCAAAACCCCACAATGCGAATTTAAGAAGAAAGAACTAGCCTATATTTTTAATATACGTGGAATTATTAAATTATTTCTTACTGAATATCAAAGATATTATTTATAGTTTGATGTCACGACAATTCGATTCAAACTATCTGACTGGCTTATTACAGCTTTAATCTAGTCTAAACGAAACAGCTTATGGAGAATTCATCTTAACTCCTTTCCCAATGCCTCCATCTGCAATAGAAGTGATAGGGTTAGTTGTAATAATGGTCTTAATGATACTATGTAATGCTGGAGGTGTTGGAGGTGGCGGGAATTCGACCCCATTTATTGTCGTATTTTTCAATTTAACCTTGATAGAATGTATTCCTATTGGAAACTTTTTGGGCTTCATCTCGGCCTTTTTTAGATTCATAATCAATTACAGAGAAAAGCATCCCAATAATCCAGATAAATTGGCGATTGACTATGAGATCATAGAATTGACGATGCCACTTCTTTATCTTGGCACTCTTTTCGGAGTTTAGATCGGCACAAGACTTCCAGAGATCTATCTAGCGGTGATATTTGCAATCCTATTATTCTTTGTTGCCTACAAAACATCTGAGAAAGCTTATAAAATGATTAAAGATGAGAACAAGAAACTCTAGATCTCAAAGGAGGATTAGCTGAGCTACAATGATAAGACTTTAGCATTAAAGACTAGCTTGCTTGAGAAAGAAAGTAATACAGTAGGGAAAAATGATCATGAAAGATAAAATCAACTTGAAAATAAGGATGAGAAATAATCAGCCTAATTAAGATATATAATGAAGTAAGAGAGCTAGCATTTTACTCCAAGAAGATGCCTTAATTTTGCTTTAACTCTAATTTTCTTGATTACCACTTCAATGCTTTTGAACTCTAAAGATATATTTACTGTTAGCGATTATGTCAAATATGCAGCAGTTGGTCTATTCATTGTGTATTCTATAGGATGCACAATCGTAATATCAAAGACCCTTCAAAAAAATTATCATATAAAACTAAACGAAGGCTATTAGTTTGATAAAAATGATATCACATACGAAAACCCAGGCCAGCTAATAAAAGTAATAGTACTTTGCTTCATTTCTGGGATACTTGGAGGTATTGTAGGTATCTCTGGGGGTATTATATTAGCTCCCTTGTTTATCTAATTGGGAATGCTGCCTACTCTAGTATCCAGCACCAATCAATACCTTGCTTTAATTTCAACAATATCAGTTTCCTTCTAATACTGGTATCTAGGGATGCTAAACACAGAGTTTGTTATAGTCTTGGGCATCATATGCATGATTGGATGTTACATCGGGGTAAAGTAAGTGTAAGTCATGGTTAAGAAGAGTGGAAGGCAGTCAATAATAGTTGTCGCCCTTGCTTTTGTTCTTTTTGCATCTTTCCTTATGATTCCAGTAAAGTATTGGCTAAAGAGCATAGGCCAGTAGTGATGGAGAGACTTACATCGACAACTAGTTGTCTATCATAATATCTATAATCACAATTTATTTACCTTCATTAACAAGAATTAGCATATTTTATATTCGGAATTCATCAGAATTGATATGAGAACATTTTTAGTCAGTCGGGGTTTTGGGGTTTTGGGGTTTTGGGG